TTGGTGTGTATTCTTTAGTTTTACTTTGCACATTTGCTTAAAATTGCATTTTTACATTATTCAATCATGGTCATAGATGAAACTAGTGTAAGAATCCTTAGGATTTAATATATAGTGGAACCTATGACACTGGTACAAACTGCAAGCAAATTGTGGCTGCAACTGTCATCAAGACCAATTTCCAGCTTAGCAATTAGAAGATAATTTGTTTTATTTCTTTAAAACAAAACTGTTTATGTACAACAAGTAAAATAAGTATTGAACATGTCACCTTTTTTCTCAGTAAATATATTTCTAAAGGTGCTATTGACATGAAATTTTCACTATACGTTGGTAACAACTCATGCAATCCATACATACAAAGAAACCAAAACAAATAAGTTCAGAAATTAAGTTATGTGGAATAGAATGGAATGACACAGGGAAAAGGTATTGAACACATGAAGAAAGGGATGTGCAAAAAGGCATGGAAAGCCGAGACACCAGTAGAAATCTATCAGTAATTAGAAAGCAATCATGCCTTGAGCATTGAATTTACTAAGAAAAATGGTGACATGTTCAATACTTATTTTACCTGCTGTATTTTGGAGGATTCTTTCCTGAACAATCTGTTTCATATCACACAGCAGCATTTCAATTATGTATAATGTTTTCGTTAAATGACAGTTTGCATTTTCATCAACCAGTATGTGCTTGGTTTTCTAATATGGTAACCTTTTTATCTGATTAAATATTTGTACTCGTATAGAATGTATGTCAATAGATTACCAAAAAATGACATGAATGCCTATGTTCAGCTTCTTGACTCTGTCTCAATCAAATATACTATATTGCCTAAAGTATTGGGTTGCCTGCCTTTACACGCACATGAACTTTAATGGCATTCCAGTCTTATTCCATAGGGTTCAATATTGAGTTGGCCCACCCTTTGCAGCTATAACAGCTTCAACTCTTCTGGCAAGGCTGTCCACAAGGTTTAGGAGTGTGTCTATGGAAATGTTTGACCATTCTTCCAGAAGCACATTTGTGAGGTCAGGCACTGATGTCGGACAAGAAGGCCTGGATCACAGTCTCCACTCTAATTCATCCCAAAAGTGTTCTATTGCACTGAGGTCAGGATTCTGTGCAGGCCAGTCAAGTTCCTCCACCTCAAACTCGCTCATCCATGTCTTTATGGAACTTGCTTTGTGCACTGGTGCGCAGTCATGTTGGAACAGGAAGAGGCCATCCCCAAACTGTTCCCACAAAGTTGGGAGCATGAAATTGTCCAAAATGTCTTGGTATGCTGACGCCTTAAGAGTTCCCTTCACTGAAACTAAGAGGCCAAGCCCAACCCTTGAAAAACAACCCCAAACCATAATCCCTCCTCCACCAAACTTTACACTTGTCACAATGCAGTCAGGCAAGTACTGTTCTCCTGACAAACGCCAAGCTCAGACACATCCATCGCATAGATACACAGAGAAGCGTGATTTTTGTCACTCCAGATAACTCGTCTCCACTGCTCTAGAGTCCAGTGGCGGTGTGCTTTACACCACTGCATCCGATGCTTTGCATTGCACTTGGTGATGTAAGGCTTGGATGCAGCTGCTTGGCCTTGGAAACCCATTCCATGAAGCTCTCTATGCACTGCTGTTGTGCTAATCTGAAGACCACATGAAGTTTGGAGGTCTTTCACTATTGACTCTGCAGACAGCTGGCGACTTCTGCGCACTGTGCGCTTCAGCATGCGCTGACCCGCTCTGTCATTTTACGTGGTCAACCACTTTGTGGCTGAGTTGCTGTAGTTCCCAGCGTGACCGTGGACTATTTAGTAGCAAGGGAATTTCACGGATGGACTTTTTGCAGAGGTGGCAACCTATCACGGTACCACACTGGAATTCACTGAGCTCCTGAGAGCGACTCATTCTTTCACGAATGTTTGTAGAAGCAGTCTGCATGCCTAGGTGCTTGATTTTATACACCTGTGGCCATGCCATGGAGGTGATGGAGGAACACCTGAATCCAATAATTTGGAGGGCTGGCCCAATACTTTTGGCAATATAGTGTAGCTTTAATCGCTATTTATAAATTGTGGTCTATAATAAAGGAATACACTCAAAACTAGCTTACAAATCCATGTACTGTATTTCAAGAAGATTTTCAAAGTAACCTTTTATATATGTCCTGTTAGGGTTGCACTTTGATCATTTAAGATGAACTTTGTGGGGGTTATTTACTAAAACTGGTGAGTGCAAAATGAGGTGCAGCTCTGCACAGAAACCAAAGCTTAACTGAACAAGCTGAAGTTAAAAGCTGATTGGCTGTCATGCAAAGCTGCACCAGATTCTGAGTGTTGCAGTTTTAGTAAATCCCTCCTTTTTGTCTTCAGTTTTTTCCTTGTATCAAAGAATGCATCCCAGGATCTCTGAGCTTTCGAGAGTAGGACACAAATGGCTGCCACAGATAACTAGGGACTGATGTTGGGGATGAACATTGTTGTTTTTTAGTCTTTGTACATGCTTCCTGACACTACACTACAGTCATACAGCATGTCATACATGAATGTTCACTTGCATTGAACAATGCAAAGGACATGACAAATACATTTATCAAAGTGACATACCTAAAGTATATCAGCATCTTATAATTGAAGTACCTGCACCAACATACAAATTCCTAGTTTAACCAGAAAGCAAAACTTTTTTTTTTGTGTGTGTTGTTTGTTTTATAGCCGTGGACGCCAGGACAAGAAATGAGAGAAACTTGGGCCTTCGAGACAGGAAGACACAGACTTGACATGTGCGGTTCGTTTAGTTCCGAATCACATTTCGGACTAATTTTTTTGTTATTCGGAGATTCGAGTGTATCAGAGTAACGAATTACAAAAATAATGAATTTAAACGAATCCGAAATAATGAAATTAAATTCAGCCGAAAATCAAATAAAAAACAAAATCGAACAAACATTCGAAAACAAATTTAAAGCGGCGCTCCACCCAAAATTTTAAAGGTCTGGTCCTCCGCTCCCCGTTATTTTACGAATTGTTTTGAATTCGGTTGAAATATTCTTGATTTCGAACGACTTTTCGAATTTGGTTGAAATGTTTTTGAATTGAATTCGAATACGAATTGCCAAAACAAATCCCGAAAACGAATTGAACGAATTTACCGAATCCAACTACACGAAATTTGTTAAGATTTGGAAAACAATTTTTTTTGTTTTACACATGTCTAGCACAGACAGCCATTCTTGCTAATTAACTGAGCGGGGGGGGGGGGGGGGTCGGGATGGGAGTCAATGAGAAAAAATGCCTCTTACATTGGTGATCAGTGGAAAGAATGCAGTCTTTACAATGGTGGTCAGAATGCCACCTTACAGACAGCTAAAAAGATTGTGTCATGCAGTTCACTCTGCCAAGTAGCATTGGTCCTGGAACTATGCAGATCGTTCAGTTGGGAGGTCAATTATCCACAGCACAGGGAACAACTAGTAACCTCTGGAAGAACCCTGGAGTTCCACAGAACCCTGGTTGAGAAAGGCTGTTCTAACTTCTACTATAACAAAGCATAAAAATAAGGGGGTTCATTGCTGCCTCTGTTTACATTTATGTGGTTCAAAGATTCTTCCACTGTGTTGAACCTAGGTCATTGATGTCACAATCTAGGAATGTTCAGGAGATTGTTACAGAGAACAGCACCCCATTAGCACAGTTTTCTGCAGAAAACTAGAAATAGGCTTGAAACTCACTAAACTTAATAAAAGATTCACCTGGTTTCTTTACAAAGGGCAAGCAGGTATTGTAGGGTTTGTGCAGACGGGGGTCACAAAGTAGCATATGCAGGAAGCACCCTAACAAAGGATAAATTCAGCCAAACAGTTTATGCCCCGATGGGCCAGTTCACACCATAGAAACACAGTCCGCATGTGTTTCTGCATGCGTGCTTTTGATGTGTTCCGGAGCATTTTTTTCCTACCCTAAATAAGGACATGTGCGTTTTTGGTATGTTCTTGATGCGTTTTACTGCATTCCTGTACAGAAAAATGCAGCATGTTTTTTTTTTCTGGAACTAGAACACACTGGAACTGACTGCAGTGGTGTGAACTAGGCCATTGGAAACCATATAACCTACTATCCTTGTGTTTTTAATGGAGAAAAATAAATGCACTGGAATGCATATGGTGTGAATCAGCAATTAGAGTAACATTCACTGTTCTATGTAACAAAGCTTGCATGCAGTGTGTGATGCTATAGGTCTGCTTCCTTTGTGGTAATGTAGGCTACATTCAGCAGATCAAGAGGGAGAGGCAGTTATGTCTACTAGTCTAGCCAATAAAGTGTACATAGATGGCCATAGTGAGAGGACAAGTATACATGGCAAGGCTGATACATGTAAACCTCAGTTTAATATACTTTATTTATAATGCAACCCTATAGCTGTTGTAAAGGATACTTTTTATTTTCTTAATGTAACAAGAAATGGTATAGCACGGAGTGGCTTGAACCTCCTCTTATGGGGTCCCCCGCCAGTGCTCCTGGCTTCTGCATTCTGTGTGTGCCCCATAGCAATCTGCTTACTCCAGAGATGGGCTGTGTGCGTCTGTTCATACACACACAAAACAGCGTGGCTCGGCAATGCCCCCCACTCCCTCCTCACAGGAACCAATGACTCCGCTGCTGATTCTGTGGCCTATGAGGAGAGGAACTGAGACCAGCGCCACTGTAGATGGGCACAGCACTAGATTGAGATAGGACCCAAGTAAGTATCAGGAGGTGAGGGGACGATACAACTACTGGGACATTTTTAACCTTAGAAAAAGCATTGCAGTAAAAAATATCTCGCTTTTATAACCACTTTATTATATACTTAAAGGTGTGTTTTTTTTTTTTTTTTTTTTGTTTTTTTTTTTTTTTAGGAGTTGCACAATTACAACAGACCATTTTATATCATACAAAAATATTTACACGTTGCCCCCCCAGTTTCCAAGCACATATACATAAAATGGCAAATAACAGTATATTACTTAAATAGTAAATCAGTAGCAGAAAGAAAGTTTGCTTCAAACTCCTGGTCTGAGAATCTAGAGACGGACTGTCGTGCATTCTGTCTGATCTGCAGTCTTTTGTGTTCAGGCAGACACAAGATGTGCTCCATAGCGGAAGCAAAGGTATCCTCGCTGTCAGCAAGGAAGCCAGTTTCTTGTCCTTCATACGGCACTACAATGTCTAGTTTGGGGCCTCCAGAGTTGTGAGCCAGAATTATTGTCCCAGCTGCCATACATTCCACCACTCCTGTAGATCAAAACAAAATCAGATCAAGTTAGATTCAATGTGTCAGCAAGGTACTCAAGACATCCATATGAACAAACTGGAAAAAAAACTACTTCTAAGTCCTGCAAGTTATTAGAAATTACACATACAGACCAGGTCTCTCCACATACATATTAATTAGGTTATTGTTTTTCTTATTGGCTAATTGCTTCCCAGCTGGTTTCTTCCTATCATGACACTGGGACTGATCATGTGACTATAGCAGGCAGCCCCACCCATTCAAGGAAAAAGTGAGTTATGTGCAGGTGCTAGTTTCTAACAAAAAGCAGGAGCCAACAGTCTGCAATGAAGTTTACCAACCACTTTGCACCATACACCAATCAGCAGTAATGACTGACAGGAAAAGTAATAACATTGATTATCTTATTACAATGGCATCTAAAAGTGGGTGGGATATTATGCAGCAAGTAAAAACATGTTGTCCCTGAATATATGTTGAAAGCAGAAAAAATGGAAATCACAGTTCACTGTGTATGGGGCGGAGTAGCCATAGACTGGTCAGGGTGCCTATGCTAACCTGTGCCCATAGTCAAAATCGCCTACAATGGGCATGTGAGCATCAAAACTGAACCATGGAGCAATGGAAGAAGGTGGCCTGGTCTGATGAATTCAAGAATGGTTTGAGGAACACCACAAGGAGTATGAGGTGTTGTCTTGGCCTCCAAATTCTCCAGCTCTCAATTTAATCAAGCATTTGTGGGATGCTTGCCTACCTTGCAATTTACAGGACTTAAGGGAACTGCTTCTAATGACTTGGTGCCAGAAACCAGGGCATACCTTCAGAAGTCTAAAGGAACCTAGTAAAAGGGGACCTACTAAAAATATTAGGTGGGTGGTCAAAGTTATGGCTGATCTGTGTATATGCTTTATGCAACACCAGACTGTACCCTCTTTCCTTCTCAAAATTAATGGACATACCTCAAGCGTTATTTCACCTTTACAAAAAGAAAAACAAAAAAATAAACCTGATCTATGCCGAGAAGGGGCGCCTGTAGAAAAACTGCGCAGCTCTGACTAAAGTTGAATAGTGTTCTTGCTATAGGTGTAGGCCATTTACATACAAAATAGAGTGATGCGAGCAAGGAAGCTCACATCCAAAGAGGTCCCAGGCAAGGACAAACCGCAACATGAAAAAATACAAAATTTTATTAGTTTTACAAAATATTCAATATATTAAGATCAAAAGACCTTCACTGAACACCAATAAAAAACAAGTGACAACGTTGTCAAGTGTTATAATAACATGGCCTGGGCTCCCAGGCACACAAGAACATTCACACAGGTGCTAGCAACAATACGGATATAGCAGCAGTAGGAAATCACAATGTCATTAGGCCCGCGCTCCAGGCTGCACCATGCGGATTTCTATTCTGCCACCCCATGCTGGCTGCTAGTGCTGGGCAACGCGACCAATTTACATTGGACTAATTACATTGCATCGCACTTGCTATAAATATGTGAGTGCTAATTAAAGCTTTGGACCCTTAACTGGAGATCCACGGTGTGCTGGTGATATTCTTCCCACTTGAGTCTTTTTGGTTCCAGCCGAAGGTCGCTACAGCACCCATTTATGCGTACAGCTAACCTCGGCTGCAGGAATGTGTGCATTGGGATTATGCTATCTTAATTTGCATTGAGACACCACAGACCAAGCCACAAGCAGGCATTCAAACACAGACAGCCAAGACCATCCAAGCTGAACCTATATTACCTGGCGTGGTGAACTGTAACTTATGTATACATTGGGTGACACCAACATCGGGGAGGTTTCCGGGACTGTGATTGCTCTGTAGAGCTTATGGCTTACCTTAACCGTGAATAGACGTTATGTCTGTGTTGCTCCCGCTGCTTTTTGCTGGTAAAGTGGTGCTGCACTTCAGCTTGCTGCCTTTGCCATTTAATCTCTGCCTATCCTTTGTACCTTTGGCTTTCCTTGTGGCGATGCCATTGCGGCTACCAGCATAGCCCTACAGATCAGCATTATTTGATCCAGCATTTAGACACTAGGTTTTCCTGTCATTGCAGATCCATCACATGGCCAAACCCTAGCATGCTCAGCTGTTCATAGACTTTAGATTTATGATGCTATATGTGGCCCATTGACTTTATAGTATGTATGGCTCATACTTATTCATATCTGAGCACTGCTATTACCCAAGGAATCCTCAGTCTAAACAGTCAGATATGAATATTTACCATTTAGCTCTAGACTGACTAGCCATATGGACTCCCTGTGGATCATTCAAACAATTAGCTGCCACTGGCCTCAATTTATTTCTTACTGCTGCTATATCCGTATTGTTGCTAGCACCTGTGTGAATGTTCTTGTGTGCCTGGGAGCCCAGGCTATGTTATTATAACACTTGACAACGTTGTCACTTGTTTTTATTGGTGTTCGGTGAAGGTCTTTTGATCTTAATAGATTGAATTTTTTGTAAACCTAATAAAATTTGTATTTTTTCATGTCACGGTTTATTCTTGCCTGGGACCTCTTTGGATGCGAGCTTCCTTGCTCGCATCACTCTCTTTTCTCTTTAAATGTTTAGGTCTCAAGAACACCACCTTTAATTTTGATGAGTTGGCAGTTAATTTTGTTGTATATATCCCACAGTGGTTCCTGTTTTTATTTGTTAATTAGTAGGCCATTTACATACCTCTCAAATCTTGTCCAGAAAACTCCCAGAGATGGCATCATTGCATCCTACCTGGTTGCTAGGACATTGCCAAGACACTCCTCACCCGTTACGGCTCACCCCCACCATTACAGGGGCGAGCTCTCAAACCCCGGCACATGTGTAGTCCACTATCTCCTCTGTCACACCATCACTGAGCTTGGAGCTACTGCAACAGGGGGGAGAGAGCACATGCAAGGGAGTCTGAAGCAGCCAGACGTATCTTAACAACAAGACATGATGGATGGTGCCATCTCTGGGAGTTTTTCGGTTAGGCTTTGGGAGGTATTTATTTATTACAGGTACTTATATAGCGCTGTCAATTTGCGCAGTGCTTTACATATATATTATACATTCACATCAGTCCCTAACCCTCAATGGGGCATACAATCTAAGGTCCCTAACTCACATCATCATACACATACTAGGGACAATTTAGACAGGATCCAATTAACCTACCAGCATGTCTTTGGAGTGTTGGAGGAAACCCATGCAGGCACAGGGAGAACATGCAAACTCCAGGCAGCTAGTGCCATGGTTAGGATTCGAAGCAACGACCCTAGTACTGCCAGGCGGACGTGCTAACCATTTAGCCACTGTGCTGCCTACACCTATAGCAAGGGCACCATTGAACTTTGGTCAAGACTGCACATTTTTTTTATAAAGGTGAACTAACCCCTTAACAGAACGCATAGACGGAACAGAAGAATGACAAAGTATGACCAGGCCCTCATTGAATAAGCTGTCATGATGTAAAGCTGAACTCCACGCATATATAAAAAGGCAAAATATAAAGAAGCTCTGTATTCAACAATGCATTATTAAATGCAAGCAGTGCAAGTACCTGAATTATATTTCCATTAGCATCTTGCAATCCATGACAGAGTTTTACAGGATTGCAGCAGAGAAAAAAACATGTCTGCAGTTCTGCCAGACAGGGCTGTGATGTGTGGCAGATACAGCTAGTAAAATAAGCATTGAACACGTCACCGTTTTTCTCAGAAAATAAATTTCTAAAAGGTGCTATTGACATGACATTTTCCCCACATGTCAGTAACAACCCAGGCAATCTATACATAAAAAGAAACAAAAAAAAAATAAGTTCAGAAATTAAAGTTATGTGTAATAAAATGGAATGACACAGGGAAAAAGTATTGAACATATGAAGAAAGGGAGGTGCAAAAAGACATGGAAAGCCATGACACCAGAAGAAATCTATCAGTAATTAGAAAACAATCCTGCCTCTTGTCAGTACAAATTAATATCAGCTGATTCAGTCCCAACTGATGGCCTATAAAAAGATATTTCATTACCAAGGTGTCACACAAGAAACATCTCATGATGGGTAAAATTAAAGAGCTCTGTCAAGACCTTATTGTTGCAAAACATACTGATGGTATTGGTTACAGAAGGATTTCTAAACTTCTGAATATTCCATTAACCCCTTGACGCCGACGTAACACAAATATGCGGCCTCGCGGACCTGGGCTTTTTTCCGTGGGGCCGCATATTTGCATACCTGTCTTTGTGCTGGGAGCGCGCCGCAGTGTCACTGAGAGCCCCGGGTCCCGTTCTAACGATCGGGACCCGGGACTCCCGATTCCGGGTCACGTGATCGCTGTGATAGCTTCTGATTGGCTATCACAGTGATCAATCACTGTGCAGCCCGGCCCCCTTGTTTTCTCTCTCTCTCTATGAATGGAGAAGAGAGATACATTGTATCTCTTGAACTCCTGACATAGAGAGATAAAAAAAAAGTTTGTAAAAAAAAAAAAAAAAAAAAAAGATAAATAATTAAAAAATAAAAGAAAAAATAAAGAAAAATACCTAGATCAAGGTTTAAACTATTCAGTACCAGGGTTAGTGTTTGGGTCAAGGTCAGGGTCAAAGGTCAGGGTCAAGGGCAAAGGTCAGGGTCAAAGGTCAGGATTTAAAAAAAAAATTGGTGTCAGTTAGTGTTAATGTCAATGTCAGTGACAGTGTGTTTTATGTAAAAAAAAAAAAAAAAAAAGAAAAAAAAAAAAAAGACAAAAACAAAATGCGCACTGTTGTTTCTGGACTGTACTACGGGTACAAACAACAAATAACATACGCATATATGGTATCGCTGCGATCGCCAAGAACTGGAGAATGTATTTTGGGTTGTTCTTTGGTGGTAGGTTATGGTCGTAACAAGAAACACACAGTTAAATTAAAAAAAATGATTTTTTTTTTACCATTTTGGCCCAGTTTTCCTTTAATAATAACAAAAAATTAGGAGCTATCCATTACCATTTACCACCAAATGAAAGCCCAATTTGTCCTGAAAAAAAACAAGGTATAATCCACCTGGATGTACAAAGTAGTTGTGACGATATGTACGGTTTTACTAACACGTCAACGTTGCAGAATTGTGCTTAGGCATTTAGATTTGTTTTACCCTTAGGCGTGAAGGGTTAAGCACTGTTGGGGCCATAATGGAAAGAACATAATTTCACCATAAACTTACAAAGACAAAATAAAAATAAATATGGCAACCTATTTTACCTGCTGTGTGTGCAATCCCAGGACTAAATATACACAAATATGAAAATTGGCAGGCAAAACAACCCTCATATATATGTATTTTGTTTGTTTATTTAGCGGTTTGCCTGGAATTCAGTATGAACAGTCTGCTAGTTTTGGCCTTCTTCAGCCATTTGTGAACATAATGCTTGTCTGACAAAAGCCTCCAAATATAGTGGCCCTCTCTCGCACTGTAGCTTCACTGTCTCTGCCAACAGGGCCTTCATTGACCTTTTTTCCCCCTAAATTTCTCAGTCAGATATTAAGAGGACAGACTCTTTAACCAATTCAATACCGGGCAATTTTTCACCTTCCTGCCCAGGCCATTGTTCACGTTTCAGCGCTCTCACACTTTGAATGCCAATTGCGCGGTCATACAACATTGTACCCAAACTAAAATTTTATCATTTTGTTCACACAACTCGAGCTTTCTTTTGGTGGTATTTAATCACTGCTGGGGTTATTTTTTCTAAATTAACAAAAAAAGACCAAAAATTTTGAAAAAAAAAAAACAAAAAAAAAAAACCACGTTTTTCTTTGTTTGTGTTATAAAAAGTATACAAATAAATAATTGTTCTTCATAAATTTAGGCCAAGATGTATTCTGCTACATGTCTTTGGTGAAAATAACCCAAATTAGGATGTATTATTTAGTTTGTAGGAAAGTTATAGAGTTCACAAACTATGGTATAGATCTGAAAATTGCAATCCTGAAGTACTGACGGCCAATCTAATTTCTTGAGGTCAAAGAATGTCAGAACAGTACAGATATCCCCAAATGACCCCTTTTTGCAGAGTAGACAGTCCGACGTACTTCATAAGAGGCACGGCGAGTTTTTTGAAGTTGTATTTTTTTTGTCATAATTTTTCAGAAAATGAAAAAATTAAAAAAATTATTTTCACTATTTTTTTTTTTTACACTGTCACCAGTGCAGTACAGCATCTTCATATAACTGGCATGGCGGTTAACAGGGACACTGACTGGTAACAGTATGAAGAAAAAAATATATAAATTTTTTTAATTTTTTTATTATTTTTAATTTTTTATTACATTTTTTTTTTTGAAGATTTTTTTTTTTTTGAAGATTTTTTTTTTTTTTTTATATTTTACTATGACCAAAGTAGTACAATGTTACCATAGTAACATTGTACTACTATGGGGAAGTGATCAGTATTTTTTTTTTTTTTTTTTTACACAATTTGCTTATAGCAAAGAATTACTTTGCTATAAGCAAGCATTTACCTGAATGACATCGATTCATTCAGGATTTTTTTTTTTTTTTGTGCTTAGCTGTGATTTGGCCACAGCTAATCACATGACATGTGCATGTGACCTGCTGTGACCATTCACAGCTAGGCACTAGTATACAATGGATGGCATGAATGAAGCCATCCATTGTATACAACTGTCATGTGACCTGCTGATTGGTCACATGGTACCGGCAACGAGGGCCGGTACTCAGATCTGTCATCGGCTGTGTCTGAGGTACACGGCCAGTGACAGATGGCGCTGCTGCGTGGCTCTGCAACCGCGCATGTGCGGGAGGACGCCAACGGCGTACACCCGGAAAGCTAAAGCATTTTTGCGGCTATAGGCCACGGCTAAATGGTTAAAGGTTACATTGACTTTTGAATAAAATAGACTATAAAAGTTAAAAAAAAACATTGTGCAGCTTTGAGGGAGGAAAGCTCCTGTTTTTGTGATGCTGGGGCAAACACTCAAAGTATGGCATGTCCTAGCCACAAGTCAGCATGGGGGGGGAATGCCAGGCTTTGGGGTGGCACAAACAGCCTACAAGTATGGCAATTACATTAAGCAACATTTTCTTTAAAGCTATACAGCTTTTTTATTTTTCACCCTACTGAGGCCCTTTGACTGCAAAATCATTTTTAAACACTTCTATGCCTGCTATATAAAACTATTTATGAGGTTCCGTCTCCTGGCGTAATACTTGCTTCCTCAATGTACAGGGGTACGCATGTCCATTCATGCATACCCCCATTCATTGAGGAAGCATGCAAAATCAAATTTTATTAAGCAATGAATTTAGCCTTTAAAGCTTGGGCTTTAAAAAAAATTGCTAACTTGTAAGTATGAATAGTTATTCTATTACTAAATATTAACTTTTTTAAATGTAGTCACATTCTTACCAATTCCAAAGTGCTCATTCCACATGGTGTGCAACCCAATGGTGGCTTCACTAAGGCATCTCTTCAGTTCATCAAAGGGAATGTTTACTTTAAACTCCACAGGAACTCCCAAGTCTTTGCTGAGCTTCTTTAGCTCTTCCACGCGAAGTTCATCTTGCTTGTTGCGGCATCCACCAACCAAAATGAGCTTTAGGTCTGCTTGTTCGTCTGGTGACTTCCGTTCCAACAAAATTCTGAAAGCTCGAATCTGCAGAGGGTGGTCCTTCTCTGGCCTAAATTGGCCAATAGACACAATGGAGTGCCCCTTCCTCTTTTGCTCCACCTCCAGACTAATATCTAAAAATGTCTGCACATCACAAGGTGGATAAACTATGCTCGTGTGTTCACTACATTTCCATAAATCCAGGATGTGGTTAAAGGTCCATGTAGAGTTAACCATCACCAAATCACTGCACGAGCCAACCCATCCATAAAGCCAAGCAAATAGATAATAGTAGATTAACTTTAGTCTGCTCAGCACAGGATTGTTGGAGATGATGGCAGAGTTGTTGAACCTAGCACGGTGGTCGCGAACTACAGACAACATATCTGTGCTGATAGTTGGATAGTGCACATAACAGCCCACACGACAACCCCCCAAATATTTAAACAGCGGCAATGTAAATGCATAGCCCATGGAATCAATATAAATATCAGGAACACATTTTGTCAGTGCTTCCCACCCAAGAACAATGGAGCCCAAGCTCTGACCCAGCAGGGTGAAATGTGGGTAAAGTCGGTCTTCCACAAGGTTTCGCTTTTCCAGGAATATGAACTTTACAGGATATGACAACTTGATGTTAAATCTCCCGGTGGCTCCATTTAGAATCTGCTCTCCAGATACATCTTTGTCTCCTGTATAGACAACGTACACAGAGTTCTTGTACCTACATAAGAAAACATTAAAGAACTGAAAATTAACAAACAGCAGTCCTTGTGTAGAAATGTATGCATCAAAGAGTACAAAAAGTGTCCTAGTTTCCATAGCAACCAAGTTTCTGCTGACAAAGTCAGTTTAGAGGATGATGAAACACACTATGATTGGTTCTTTGAAGCCATTTGCTTTCACGTGCTTTAATAAGAATGGGTGCTGCTTTATATTCATTTACTTTAAGGACTGTTAACAGGTGAGATAGATATAAAAATAAAGAAGCCCATAAACAGGCACACAAGACCAGTCAACATGTCTCAGCTTTGGACAGACTCGTCTGCAACAAATACTTCTATACCGGTACAAAGGATTCTGCGCCTGTCCAAAAACTTGTAAACCTTCCTTTTCACTTTGGATAAAGTAAACTGAGGGTCAGTTTTTATTTTGCCATTTAGATCTCATTTAGGAGATTTCTCTTTACTTCCTGTCCTATAGCCAAAACAGGAAGTAAGGGGAGATCTCAATCCCTGGCTTTCACCAGAATTTTTTTCCCTATTGGAAGATTTTCTCTCTATTCCTGTCTTGGCGACAAATCAAAAGTTGGGATTTCTTATTATTTCACTCTCAGTAATAATAAAAAAATCAGGATAAATAGAGGGTGAATCTCCCTAACGGGGGCACAGACAGCAATAAAAACCAGACAGCTAATCTAATCCCCCTCCAGTCTATCCAAAACTAAGCTGTGCCTTAAGTTATAACTTAACGTTGAATACATTGTTATTGAGATTTTCAAGAAGAAAGGTAGTGCAGGGAATACATTTAGATGTCAATGAATTCTAAATCGTATGAAATTAACTAGATCACAATGATGTGTTCCATAGCATTAACCCTGAAAACTATCCATGTATTCCCATGTTGTAGAGAGCCTTGTGGTGATAACAGATAAGGAATACTTCTAAAAATGGGCTCTAGGTGGAGAGAGAAGAAAAATCAAAATTAAAATATAGAAACAAAATGTGTAGAGAAAGTAAGTGCAAGAAAAAAAGCGTAAGAGTCCTGGACTGGGAATCTAAAGTGGAAGTAAACCACAAAAAAAAAAAGTCCCCTGAAGCATAATAGCATTGCATTCTATTAAATTATGAACTACTTACTTTAAAACAAAACCCTCACTGCTGACAGGGCTTCCATCTTCACCCAATCTTCCTTACAGGTTCACGGGATCCGGCCGTTTGAACGGCCGAGCCACAATAATGTCACTCCTGTGCGTGAGTCACACCTGTGGCATGCCGTCCACTGAGAGCACTGTGCACATGTGCCGGTGACGTCACGGATGCTACTGAAGTAAATGTTTCCTAAATGTGCACCGTTTAGGAGATATTCACTGTACCTACAGGTAAGGTTTAAAGCTGGGGAAAACAGAGAGCATAGGCTGACCTGATACCCATGTATGACCTGTGCGAGAGGCTGCTGACCCTAGCTGCAGGACACATAAAATCTTGCAGAGGGCCACGATCATTAGTTGGGAAAACCTGTGCACTAAACTAGGGAACAATTGGTGTGCATATATTTATTGTACTAGATTTAAAGCCATTTAGTAAGGATATCACCCATTATAGGGATTATGCTAGCAGGGCAGCTAGGAATACCATTGTGAAGATAAATGAATAAGCGAAAGGCAAAACTTTTTTTTTTTTTTAAGTTAGGGAGATCTCTATTTCTCCTGTTTACCATTATCATCAAAATTGAAAGTAAAAGAAAATCCTAAATTTTTGGTTGTCCCCAGAACAGTAAGAGGAGAAATCTCCCAATGGGGACACTAGTTCTGGTGAACTGGGGGGACCCAATGGAATCCCTTAATTTGCAGGGATTTCCTTTCATTTCCTGTTTTGGCTATGAGACAGGAAGTGAAGGGAAATCACCCCGATGGGACACAGATGGCAAAAAAAAAAAAAAAAAAAAAAAAAAAAAAAAAAACCCTTACGGGTTATAATCCTCCCTTACTCTATCCAAAGTAAAAAAAAAAGGTTTGGTCTATAGTTCTAGTAAATAAGTATGTCGGTATATTACTAAATACTAATACAATAAGTGATAAATAACCCCAGACGCCAAATTATACTTTCTCCCCTGAAAGTCACAAATATACAGTCCAACTCTTATTCAGCGTCTCTATGTCAAAAATACTAATTGTGCATATGTCTTCTACATCACAAGTGATAAACTCCTCTTCCTCCACTTAATACCCTCAAAAAAAATAAATCACATATAGTGCATTATCCAAAACGCATGATATCCAATACAAAAAAAAAAAAAACGCACTTACAAAATGAGTGCAAATGTGTAAAACATTCCACTCCACCACGTGTCCACGTCTAACCTTCTGTCATCCTTACTCTTACACTCTTAAAATTAGGAAGGGCAATCGCAAAATCCACCTTCCTTCGTAGTTGAACGCCTATATTCGTCCAATTTCGTATGGGCAATGCACCTCCGAAGGAATTATATATAGTGTCATATCTCCACAATAGCGTATGTGCTCCCCTCACTTCAAACAAAATATTCCCAGTGTTGGTGAACACACTGACCACCACCTCCTATCTCATGCACCTTACTGAATGATAAAGTCCACTTGCACAAAGAGGGGGGCTCTTCTCACTCCACAACGTATCCGATTCCAAATAGCCATTTTTTTGAGGGTATTAAGTGGAGGATGAGGAGTTTATCACTTGTGAAAGAAAGAAGAATAGAAGACATCTGTACAATTGTTTTTTTTTTTTTTTTTTTTTTTTTTACACAGAGACTGAATAAGTGTTGGACTATATATTTGTCTATAGTTCTACTTTAAAGCCAGGTAGGCTGGGTATGGAAGGTTCCTTTATTGGGAGACAAGCACTGGTATACAGTAATCACTAGAAACGAACTCTGATGAAGAAGGGATGCCCTTCGAAACGCGTCAGCTGTACTCTGAGTGTCTAACCCTATGATGGGACTCGCGCAGGCTGCCTAATGCTCAAGTCCCTCTGAGAACTTACATGCCTAAATTACTTTGCTGTTTGTATCATTTTGTATTTAATAAAATTTGGTTACTGAGGTAATGCTCAAGGTTGGTGCGCTTTTTGTTTTGTTTCGCTTTGCAATACAGTAATCACTCACTTACCTCTTCTGTAACGCTCGGAGAGCACACCAAAGAACCCTCTCCCCTCCTCCTCCTGCATTACAGTATGGATGGAAAAATGCAACTACTTTCTGTGCCTGGCCATTGCTGCTTAACTGCACAGATGACTTTTTCTTTTGGGCAATCCAAAGCCGAAGGCAACACAGAAGAATTCCCAGCAGAAGCGTGGCTGTGATACTGGCAATAAGAGCCGGAATGAACAAGGACGTCAAAAGTCTGCAGAGAAAAATAGTTCATAAAGCATTACTAAACAAACACTTCATGACTATACACAACACATGTGATTCTCCCTGTCGCAGTCTGTATATCTAAAAGGCAGAATACCGTATTTTTCGCTCCATAAGACGCACTTTTCCCCCCCCAAAAAAAATGGGGGAAAATGTCTGTGCATCTTATCGAGCGAATATGGAGTGGCCAGCCCAGTATTCAACCCATCGCCACCATGTTAGAATACCGGGCCGGCCGCTTGTGCAGATGAATCTTCTCCTCAGTCTTACCTGTTGCTTGGTCCAGCGGTGACCTGTTTTCACTGGCTGTCTTCTCTCTTCAGTGCGGGCACCCAGCTGTCGGCTTCACAGCCAGGTACCCACAGCGCATGCGTGAGAAATGCTGTGCTTTGTGAATAGCCCCGTAGTCTTCTGGGACCAGTCACGTGTCCCACAAGACTATGGGGGGGGGGGGGATGGACAACTCCCCCCCCTCCCCACAGGTCCGCAGTCTCTGGTCATCTCCTGCGCCAGTCCCTAACCCTCAAGGGATGTACAATCTAAGGTCCCTAACTTACATTCATTCATACACGTACTAGGGACAATCCTCTGGAACTCACTACCCCAATCCATCAGACTGTCACCTACTCTCCTCTCCTTTAAAGACCCACCTCTTCAGGGAAGCCTACCCTGCCCTCACCTAACTGCCGATCTCCTCCACTCCATCCCCCACAGCCATTTCCTTCTGTACCACTATCCCCCCTCCTAGATTGTAAGCTCCAAGGAGCAGGGCCCTCGAACCCCTCGTGTATTGTATCGTCTATTGTATTGTCTCCCACTGTAATGTTCATCGCTGAGCAACCTTTTTGACGCTATATAAATACTGTATAATAATAATAATTTAGACAGGAGCCAATTCACCTACCAGCATGTCTTTGGAGTGTGGGAGGAAACCAGAGTACCTGGAGGAAACCCAGGCATGCACAGGGGAGAACATGCAAACTCCAGGCAGGTGGTGCCATGGCTTGGATTCGAACCAACGACCCTAGTACTTCCAGGCAGAAATGCCACCCATTCAGCCACTGTGCTGCCCATTTCTATTCGGAGACACATGGACTGCTGAACACTGGGAGCTTTCTGTGGTATGTAGAAAAAGGAAATAGAACAGTGCCCAGGCTAACCAGCATCTCTGTACAGGAGAGACCACTGCAGCCGGGCACAGCCCCCTCACTGCCCTCTATCAGGGGGTCTCACCTCATCAGCCCGCACATACACAGCACTCCAGCCATGACTGGCGATCACAGCTTCACACGTCACCACAACAACGCCACCATCCGGCGTTGACGCTGATTGGCGGCGCTCCTACCGCACGCCTATAACGTGCTAACGTCAGCAGAGACAACCAGGAAGTTTCCCGCACGTGATTGTAGCAAGCCCATGACTAAACACAAAAGGGGCGCGGCTTAAGCCTAGAGAGGAAACTGAGGGCGTGTCTGAGAAGAATGACAGCTGAGAGGGGGGATTTCAGCTTGGGGGGCGTTTCAAAGCGTGACGTTAAGGGCGTGGCTAGAGCTTAGATACAGGGCGTGTCTGAGTAGAATGACAGCTTAAGGAGAAGAATGGAGCGCGGAGTTGGTTCCGTGCCGTAAAAGCTGAGGGGCTGAGTTACAGCATAGATAGAGCCAGTTTAGATGGCGTGTCTAAAAGCTAACGTGGGGAGGCGTGGCTATTGACTAAAGTTTGCCTAGAGGGCGTGTCTGAGAAGAGCGAGAACAGCGAGGCGTGCTTTTTGCTTAGAGGGCGTGTCCGAGAAGAGCGAGAACAGCGAGGCGTGCTTTTTTGGTTAGAGGGCGTGTCTGAGAAGAGCGAGAAAGAGAGGCGTGCTTTTTGCTTAGAGGGCGTGTCCGAGAAAGTGTGAGAACAGCGAAGCGTGCTTTTTGCTTAGAGGGCGTGTCCGAGAAGAGTGAGAACAGCGAGGCGTGCTTTTTGCTTAGAGGGCGTGTCCGAGAAGAGTGAGAACAGCGAGGCGTGCTTTTTGCTTAGAGAGTGAGAACAGCGAGGCGTGCATTTTGCTTAGAGGGCTGTCCGAGAAGAGTGAGAACAGAGGCGTGTTTTCTGCTTAGGGGGCGTGTCTGAGAGGAGTAGTTCTGGTTTAGTGGGCGTGTCAGTGCCTGGGTGTGCTGTTTAGTCCTGGGTGCGTTCAGAGGGCGGGGCGGAGAAGAGTGGGCGGGATCGGGTTTATGCGATGATTGACACGTCCTAACAGCTCTAGCCTGTTGTGACAGCAAATCAGTGCTTTCTGGTAATACGGGTCGCACAGGCTGAGCTCTCCATTGATGATGATGATGACGACAGAGTGTAGGAGTCCAGAGTTCACCCAACACTGTGCACACATACATGACCTGAGCACACACGATGCCTGGAGCGCACAGGAGCTGATAGGTAATCCTCCATCCCTGACCTCCTATACATTTCATACATCTTCTCATCATTCTCTGCACCTTCTGACAATTGCAACAAAAACTTTCTGGTCTGTGAATGGTGTGAGGATCACAAGCTGGGGGAATGACAACTTCCAGGGAATGTAGAGATCTGTCAAGTTTTATAGATGGATGCATGGGACTTAATGATCCCCATCATATATATATATATATATATCCAGATTCATATTTCCACATCAAACAGAGATTTCAAATTATTCTTTCATTTTTCCTATTACTGTTGCCTCTGAGGATCACTAGCCTAGACCCTTTCCTTACTACACACATATGTGACCTGCATCACACGGTGTGATCACTGCATGAGAAATAAAAACTGTAGCAGTGCAACCTATCCACCAATCAGAGCCTGGAATTCTTTGAAAGAGTTGATTCAGCATTGGTTCGGTTGTCTATTGTAGGGATGAACGGAATGAATTCCATTTAATTGATTTGGTTGCAAGTGCAGTTCGTCCAAAGCATGAGCAAATTTGATCGAAAAAGAAATTGACTTTTTTTTATTTAAAGAGGGGTTGAAGTGTGTATTTTAGGTAATCTGTTTTATTTATTTTTTTCCCCTTTTTTTTTTGTTTATTTGATTGTGTGTACTCTCCCCTTCAACTCTTGTGAGCAAATGTGCTTGAAAAATAACATGTTTTTTTAATTATGTAACGAGAAGTTTCAGGTGTATTTAGGGTAGATTAGTTTTGTTTTTTTTTACTTTACTTTCCGTTTTTTGTATATTTGATTGTGCACATAGATGAGTTCTTGCTGGAAAAAAATATTTTAGGCAACAGACAGCATGGATTCATGAAAGACAGAAGTTATCAAACAAATCTGATTTCTTTTTATGTGGAAGTGAGCAAAACCTTGGACAGAGGGGAGGCGGTGGACGTGGTATACTTGGACAGAGGGGTGGTGGTGGACGTGGTATACTTGGACAGAGGGGTGGTGGTGGACGTGGTTATACTTGGACAGAGGGGGGTGGGGTGGACGTGGTATACTTGGACAGGGGGGTGGTGGTGGACGTGGTATACTTGGACAGAGGGGTGGCGGTGGACGTGGTATACTTGGACAGAGGGGTGGCGGTGGACGTGGTATACTTGGACAGAGGGGTGGCGGTGGACGTGGTATACTTGGATTTTGGACGTGGTAACTTTTGACACAGTTCCCCACACACGGCTAATGTGTAAGGTAAAGTCTACAGGCTTGGAAAACTCTGTATGTAAATGTATAGAAAACTGGCTAAAAGATCGTATTCAGAGATTAGTGGTTAATGATTCATACTCTGAATGGTCTAGGGTTGTCAATGGTGTACCCCAAGGTTCAGTGTTGGGACCCTTACTTTTTAATATATTTATAAACGATATAGGGTCTGGGATTAAATATCCCATTTCAGTCTTTGCAGATGACACCAAGCTGTGCAGTGGAATAACGTTCACTTACAGGATGTCGCTGACTTCAATACTCTGTTTAATTGGGCAACTATGTGGCAAATGAGGTTTAATGTTGATAAATGTAAGGTTATGCACTTGGGGACTTCTTCCACAGTCCTTAGTCCGTCTGCTGATAGTACAGAGCCCTAGAAGGCATTCTGCACATGCTCAGTTTGGTGTGTATTGCTAGAAAACTTTTATTTCTTTGGGAGGGTGCGGTGCATGTGATCAGCACAGGGCCAATGAGCACTGTCCAGACAGAGGGTCAGGGGTCATGCAGTGTCATAGGACAGTCAGAGGAGAATGAAAACTCCTCTACAAGTTTTAACCAGTGCTCTGTTGGACATTGACAGAAGTCACAAGACTGCTATATACTGCTGATGAGAAAAGGTATTTAGCAGTTTATATTTACTAAAATAATTGCACTTCTATGTTCTGTGTACTGTGGGAGACCAGATATAGTGAATACAGGGTCCGGGGTTTAGTGACACTTTAAGGTGGGTATACACTGGTAGAATTTGGAATGAAAATTCTTAGGAAAGTTTTTGTACTAAAATTCTCAGAATACTGGAATGTCGTTCAAAAGTAGTTTAGGATTTTGTTTGCCTTTTAGCATTTGAGTTTGGAGTGAATAGACTTTACTGAACGAAAACCACTGTTAGAAATTCGCACCTTTCAGAAAAAATTTCCATCCTGCGCACTTTTTCTTGTCACTGCGGTTGAAAACCAACTTTGATTTGACCCCAATAATGATTAGAGAAATGAACAGATGTTCTTACAAGTTTCTTAGTGCATCTTTGAAGTCGTTCTACTCAGCAGGACTTCAAAGCCGACTATTTGGTGCAATTTCATTTCAGCTTGCTGACATTCTCTGCAAAGTCATTTAACAGATGTTAATGCAACTTGCAGTGAAGTTACACAGAAATAGTGTAGGAACCTTTATCAAAGTCACTGCAACTTTAGTCACACCAATTTGAATGGTTCCATTGCTGCAAATGGGATGCAACTTATCGTGTGACTTTGAACTTTCAAGCCGCATGGCAACTTGCACTGGTGTGAACCAGGGTCTATGATGAAAAATGTTGAAGGAAATTCTACTAGTGTATACACAGCTTAACTCTTAGGAGACGTCTAAAGACCATACCCCTTAGGACTTATTCTCAGTAGGGGTTCTTGGGCAGTAAAACCTTGCGGTTGAGCCTTCATTTTGTGATTGTGCAACTGTTTTCTAGTATATAATGTGCGTTTCTTTTTTATGAGCCTGTATTTTTATCTTGTATATATACATTTAAAAGGTGATTTACTAAAGGGGTTGAGAATGTTCACTGAATATACAGTATATTGTAGCATCAAAATAAAATGTGCACACAGTCTTCCAGGTTGCTATGTGTTCACCTTTTTACAAAAAAATAATAAATTCACATTTTTTTTTTTTGCAGGTGAAAAAAATGTGCATTTGTTATTTTTTGTTTCTGGAGCCTCTAAAGCATTGTACCAATGATCAGCAGGTCGCTGGTGCCATGCAGGTCTCCTGCAGACCTGTCAGTATGTCTGCTTGGCCGTATGGGATGTATGAGCAAGCAGATATACTGACAGGAAGAATGAATTAACTACCACGGCACTCCATAGCACTGTGGTAGTTCATTGAGAACTACAAGATTACAGCTGGAAAGGCTGTCGGGACTTGTAGTTCATTCATTCACAGAACACTGTTTTTTTTTTTTTTTTCAATTGTAACAGCGGAGAAGATCCCCCACTAGCTGTCACAACAGGGAGTGGGGGCCGGTCTGTTCATAACATGTTACATGTTACAAAAGGTGAACTTATCCTTTAAAGCCTAACCCCCGGCAAATACTGTAGCTGCTGACTTTTAATATAAGGACACTTACCTGTCCTGGGGGTCCAGCGATATCCTCACCAGAGCCGATTCTTCATTCAGCTTCGGGTGCAGGTGCTGGCATCTTAAGTAAGAGAAACATTGCGGCTTCACAGCCAGTTTCCTACTGTGCATGCGTGAAGTGCTCTGTGCTTTGTAAATGGTCCTGCAGTCTTCTGAGACCTGTGAAGTGGCCCAGAAGGCTTCGGGGGGAGGGTGGGGGTGAACTTCCAGCTCCGATCGCTGCAGTGTATTTGACCAGAAGTGGGAGCGGGTACCTGTCCAAACCAGGTACCCGGTCCCCCTCCACCCCAAAAAGTGCCAAATGTGGCAGTGGAGGGGGGAGGATACAAACAAGCAGAACGTCCCCTTTTGGCTTGTTTGCCATCGTGCAGGACACATGTTATCTCGGCCACATGTTAAGGTGAGCATTATACGTTTATGCAATTACACCCATGAATTTACGTTTTACTTAAAGCAGGGGTCCTCAAACTATGGCC